AGTGAAATGAACGGTGAAAATTTTTACTATCAGCAAATTGTCTTGAAATATCCAATTTTCAATACGACATTTGAAAAGCTTAAGGAGCCTTTTGGCACATGGCGAGGTAATTAATTGTAATCTTTTAAATTATCTTTTGAGCTAAAATTTTTATCCGTACTCAGATTTTTATGAGCACCTGGTAAATCTTGAAGTTGGGGGTATTACTTTAAGTAGATATGTAAATATTCAAAATCTTGACGACGTTGCCGATGTAGAACGAGGACTTCAAGTTTGCAGAGGCGAACTTCGGGTTATGTTGAGTAGTGCAAAAGGAGATCAGAAGAGCCTGTACAATCAATTAATCAGAGAAATAAAAATTAATTCTGCTGCTTTTGTTTCTGGTGCTGCTGGTACTGGAAAATCGTATGTGCTTCGTATGCTAGAAAGATACTTCCGCTTGAAAGGGTATAAGATTTGTAAGAAATAAAAAGTCCATCAAGCTTTTTTATTTAATAAATCCCATTAAAAATAGGTCTTCAAATTAGCTCCAACCGGTGTAGCCGCTCATAATATCACAGGTCTCACCCTGCATCGTTTTTTGGCATGACCAACAAGTCAATGGTACCAAATTATCAGTCACTGGATCAGTATGTCAAGTTATATCCAAAGTTATTGCTTTTGGTAGATGAATACTCCATGATCAGTTCAAAGATGTTAGATTCCATAAATGAAGCACTTATAAAGTCAACTCAACGATCTTCTATAATGGGTGGTGTCAAGACAATTTTTTTTGGTGATATAGCTCAGCTTTTACCTGTTCAAAAACATGAAGGAACAATGTGGCAGTCAGAAATTTATAAATCCGTCAACAGATACAATTTAGCTGATCCTATACGCCAAAAAGAAATCCGGTTTATCGAAATCTTAGATAAAGTTCGATTATACAACATTGACCAATCAGTCATTGAATTTATCAACGACAGACCATCTTGAAATCCAATTTACCAGTGTATTGTTTGCGCTTGTATACAACCAGAAATAGAGTAAGAACTGCAAACGAAAAAGATTACGCTGAATTTCCGGGTGAAGGCTACGCCATTGAATCCCACGATACATATATTGGAACCAAAGGTACAGCAGCTCGAGCATTGAAAGATACACGGTTACTACAGTTTCTCTATTTAAAAGTTGATATGCCAATCATGTTAATTCAAAACTTAAACACTGCGCATGGTTGGGTCAACGGTACAAGCGCTACTATCGAATTTATCGAAGATGATAATATCTGCTTAAAAAAAATAATCCGAAATTCAGATGGTTTAGAAGAAGAGAAAATTTACTGGATCCAACCAATCACAAGACAAGTACCTGGTACCAGCTACACCCGATCCCAATTTCCGATTGTACCTGCCTTTGCGTCAACAATCCACAAATCTCAAAGTGCAACCATTGATTGCGTTGGTATTCATCTGGATGACATGCTCACCCATGGTCAGCTGTATGTTGCAATGTCTTGAGTTCGAAAAATGGAAGACTTATATTTTTTTGGAGCCGATTTACCTATATGTATCAAAAGAAGATACGGGTGTGAAGCAGATGCAGTTGAAATTATTAGAAAAAGAAGAAAACCCGTATAGCAAATATGCTCAGGCTACTCTGATGCATACATTATTTAATTCAAACATATAACAAGTATACTTTAACCAAACACTATCAATATCTTTTAAAATAAAAACCATATCATAATATCAAGCCTTGAGCTGCGCACGTCAGATTAGCCTAATTCCTTTTGTGGACCCCATTTACCCTTTCTAGGATCCCCGTGAGGGGGTCATTTAGCTTACCGTCCCGGGAGGGACGGCGAGGATTAGCATTGATTGGCCAAAATAATGTAAAACATGAAATTGCGTTAATTATTAAATTCTTAGTCATAAGAGCTTAATATATAAAGTAGTGTACTCAACAATTGAATACCTCTTAATAAAGATTTTAAAGACCCAGTGCTATTTTTCGAGAACGGACATTATAATAACAATAACAAGAACGTAAAAAAAAACAGATCAAAGCACATTTAATAAAAGTCACTACCATGCAGGACGGATTTTCTTATATCGATTATCAATTACCCCATTTTTTTTACCCCATCCAACGATATTTTTTTGTTTTTTTGATTTATGGATGGATATCGTCAATCGCGATATTTTGGAAAGTTTGATCGATATTGCCAATAACGATATTTTAGAAAGTTTGATCGATATCGCCAATCGCGATATTTTAGAAAATTTGATCGATATTACCAATAACAATATTTTAGAAAATTTTATCGATATCGCCAATCGCGATATTTTTTAGAAAAAGATCGTTATTTCCGCTCTAATTTGTTTGCGATATTTTTCAATTTTTGATCGCAGATTTATTTTAAGGTGAAAGGCTTAAAAATCAAGAATTTATTTTCGTTCCACATAAGAAAAAGACATTAGAGAATTGTCTTGAACACGGAATCTGGACATGAAGTCTCTCATATTTGAGCTTGTAGACATTTTAGCGCTTATTGTAATTATGTATAATTAGAAAAGTTCATTATAATTGATTCACGGTTATTTTTACTTTACGTGGGGTTTTTTTAAGTCACAATAAAGTTGTTTAATCACCAATATTTAAAATTAGGAAATGTGTCATGTTGTTGGAAGTACCAAAGAGGGTAGCGTCAAATTGAATAGTATCATCAGCAAGATCTGACAAGATCAAAAACTCCGAAAGGACATTGGAGGTCTTAACTCCAGGATTCGGAGTTTTGGTCACAATTCTTTTTTCAGATCGGGCCACGGCCGAGTTTTTTTTCAATCTCTTTACTATTGCTTCTGGAACCGCGATGGGATTGGACATTGGCACCAAGAGTTTCAATACAACTTTAATTTTTGTTAGTAAAATTGTGATACTGAATATTATTTATGGGTTGGAAATTTGCTTAGCCAAATCCTCGAAATGATCCTCAAGGATCTCACAAAAAGATTCCTTGGAAATCTGCTTGTTTTTTCCGTCTATCAAGTGGATATTGTTCCAGTTGTCCCAGACATACCTAAAATAATAAATGTTCACTTCATGTACTCCACGGATGAAGGGTAAATATCTTCTGAGGCGAGCATACAACCCGCAGAAAAGCAACACGAATTACATGACAATTATGGTCAACTTACCTAATTGGAGAGACAGAAGTTACTCCAATTCTTACCGAAGCCAAAGTCTTGTTGAAATCTTCAAACGTGTAGACCGAGACGTTTAAACACCTTGATTATATTAAAATAGACTCTATCAGTAAGGCGAAGTTCGAAGCGGATTAAAATCATATATTACCAATTACTCTATGAGACGTTCCCTTTCTGAAAAACCTCAAAACGTAGAATATCAGCGGATATTTGAGGCCAGATACCACGGACACAAGTCCCAAACTGGCATCAACACCTTTGGATTCAAGCGAAATTGATTGTCCACTCAAATCATTCATTTTTTGTGACGCTTTCTGTCACGACAACTCTGTCCCATGTAGCTCTTACGATTTGTCTTGAATTAGTTAGTTTTCTTAAATAAATAGCAGCAAAATCGCAAAGAAATCGTTTTTTATAGAAAAATTATCATGATTTGTAAAACGTTACTTGTCTCAATGTGTTAACTAGCAATCTAGTTGATACAAAAAAAGTAGCCCGATGTGAAAAGTTGATAATAATCGAAGGGAAAGAATCTTTTTCTGTGACCACAACGAAAATTGAGGATTAAAATTTAGCACTGACTTTTTCAGAGTTATGTGTGTTTTGTGAATTAAGAGTTGAGTGTTTGGTCGTCATGAACTATGTGTGTATTTTAGCTTAAGAGCCATTTTTATATTATCGCTAAATTGACGTGCAGCTATTAAAAAGTGGCATCCAATTTAACATGGTAGAGCACTGAAGTTGTATTCAATTATCTGAATTTGTATTCGCTTTGCTTGCAGTCAATCTTCAGTCCCTGTCGTTATTCTCTTTTTTTCGTTATCTTACTTTTCTTCTTTGGGTAGCTTATTTTCCTTACTTACAAACTTTTACCTTAGCAGATACTAAGGTAACATTATTCATAACTATTTGTACAAATTGATAGTAACATTTATCAGCTAATATGCAGAGTTACGTTACAATAATAATGTACACACCCAGAGGAATGTTTTGCAGGTTTATTTGTAAACATCGGTGAATGATTTCGGACTATTTTGGGAATGGAGGGAAGTGAGCTGGGGGGTCTTTGGGGGTGCTCTTTAGGAATTTATAGGGGGTCTATTGGTGGTTTTGTTCGGCGTCAAAAAACGATATAAAAGCGATTACGTAGCATCAAAATACTAAAATTTTATTGGTTAAAAATGTATACAAATTATCATAAAAAAACGGTTGCTTTGGATGGGGATGTTCAGTCGTAACGCGATCAAAGCAAATACCAAAATATAAAAGAGGAAGACACTATTGTAAAAGGCACGTTAGAGAACATAAAGGTAGTATTGGTATTATTCTTAACACGCGTACCTTGTAATTTTAAGAGAGGGAGAAACAGAGGGGAAAATGATATGAAAAAGATGGAAATGTCATATCTTACTAGGATTCTGAACGCCAAGAGTGAAAAGCAGCCTTGGAGAAGATATAATATGTTAATAAATGCACAGAAAATCTGGATTAACAAAAAAGCGTATATATTACCTAAAGTACACAAAGAAATACTTGCATTCAACTTCCTGTTGATTAATCAGCAGTTAATAAGGTTCTTATAATATGTTTATTAATTATCTTGTGACGATGGCTTCTTAAAAACAAAACCCAAGTTAATCATATTTTTTATTAAAAAGGGAGAAAGAATAGAGAAAGGAGAAAAAAAAAGAAAAAATGTAATTTAAAAGCATCAGCATTTTGTTACACTGGATGAGACCAAATCTATAAATAAAGGCATTTAAAGTTTTTTGTCAAACTTCATGATTGCAATTATACTCACAACGCAAAGCAATGTCTTTGAACGTATTCTCTATTCACAATAATGATACACTCTGCACAGGTTAAAACATAAATCTCACAACGAATACTAACTTTAACCGTCATCAAAGAATTATCCATGGGCGTGCAAGTAACGCACGTGTTTAGTAAGAATTACTATAAAAACAAAAAAGACTTCAAAAAATACATATACGTACCAAAAATTAATGATAGCACTCCTACAAACGATAACCATAATCCAGTAGATGAAACCACTGAAACCGCCGATGCCAATGATTATTTTGATAGCTCGGAAGAGGATGACGATGCTAACCTTGCCTATCAGTTTGAATCTGATGATGAGTCTCTTTCTGAGTCAGGCAATGATCAAGTGGAAGGACCTAATACCTATCAAAGTACGTCTGTCTTTAACTCTAATCCTTTGTATCCTTTTAAAAATGAAATGGAGATGAAGATCTTGATGTTCTTTAAGGGTTCACGTGACAGAACATCCATCCGATTAATAAAGAAAACCACGCATTTGCTGCGTGAATTGATTACGATATCCCATCAAGAAAGGGATTATATTCAGCAAAAACTAGAAGGATTTAATCCTCTGCGCAACGTAACGAAGGATGATCATATTTCCAAAAGCCATGATACCAGAAGAAAATTCCCTCGTCTTGAAGTTGATGAGGCTACTATTCCAAACGAATATGACCGGTCAGTGGAATTATTTTTCATAAAGCCCTCGCATCATTTGCGTTTGGTTATGGCTAATCAGCAAGAAACTAGACTTTTTAAATAGTTGCCAGATTTTACTCCAAACCAGTGTTATCATTTGAATCAAAGACGGAAAAGGGAAGATAATAAACATTTCCAGTCACCATTAGTAGCTAAAGAATTCACAAATGCTGATACGAATTTTTGGATTGGGGATGTAGTCAGTACCCGCCCAAATCAACGACAACGCCAACAACAGCTATATATTATCGCTAAATTTTTGACAGTGAACGATGGACTCTTTGTCAATGTTTTTCCCAACGATTTTACAGATAATTTTCTGTCAGCAGTTATTGATTCAACTGGATCCAACATTTCTGTAACAGATATACTCTTTTGTATGACGGTTTTGCAGCTTCATGAACACTGCCATCCTCGATTATGCTCCAAAATAATTGACAATAATGGTGAAGTGAGATTTACATCTTTCAACAACTGATTCCACGCCATTTGGTCGTGATGGCTGAAGGCCTTATATTTCGTGAGCGAGTATCCTATGTCAGTTCTAATTGACAAATGACAGTTCGGTTAATTCCTATTTCTTTGTGTTCGGAGTTATAGAGGAAATATATCTAAAAAAATGGAACTGTTTCGACAGCTGGGTGATGAAAATTGCTGCGTTCGATCTTGAGGAGAACAACAAGTACGAAAATCATTTCTTTCTGTGTACCAGTTATCACAAAGTCACCGCAGTGGAAATGTTCAGGCCTTTTACAGAAGATTTACTCGAGTTGGAAAAAGGAATAGTGATGTATGATGCCGAACTTCAAAAAAATGTTTTTGTGATTGCAACTGTACTGTTTTTTTGTTGAGACAACGTTCGTCAGGCGGAACTAGCCTTAAGCAAAGGATCAAGGCCTAATCACGCATGTAGATTTGGTTATCGGCAAGCTGATCCCAACGCCTATGACCATTGGAAAAAAACCTATAGCCTTGAGGTATAGCTCCGAAACGTACAATGCTGAGTCAAGAGCATTAGAAAATTTTCTTTCTTTTGTAAACCCGGAACAACCAGAGCGTGCCTCCCCGGTTTATCTTCCTAACAAAGGGCGGGTAACAAGTCAAGGTAATATAAAAGAAGCTGGAAGTTCGAACAAATGGGGAAAAATCGGGTTCAAGCTGACAGGTACTGAGGGTTTGTTGAAGTTGAAGGCGGTCGATTCGTCTCAAGATTTGTCTGTAGAAATCTTGCAAACTTTGCTTTTGGGAATAACCAAATACTGCTTTAAACTCGCTCATGACTTTTTTTTAAACGTTGAACAGCTTCAACTGTTAACTTAATTTTTTCGAAACTGCAACTCCAAAGCATTGCATCGCCACCTTACATCTTTACTAACCGCATTTCGCTCTTTTGTCGGAAGAGATTTCAAAATCCTCGTACAACTACTCCGAACAATTTTGCAAAAAGCAATCTTTTTTAACCCTTCATTGTTCGATGAAAATCATGATTCCTGTAGATCGATGGTTGAATGCTTTGACAATTTCGGCTTACTCGCTTCAGTGGTATAAATGGAAAAAATTGACAATTCTTACTACTACAAGCAAATATTAAATATAACTGTGTTAAAGACTATCACAGCTATGAATGAATTACATCGTACGACCGTTTTGACTAGAAGAAGATCTGCTGCTGATGAAACAGAAGCTACCACCAAAATGAACTTTTCGTCATTGTGCAACGGACTGAAATCCCATTTATCGATCCGTGTTTCACCATATGTTGAACGGGTTTCCGGTGGTCCTCATACCGAGACTGAAAGAGGTAAGCAGCAACACAAGTTCATGCTTGAGCTGTTGCGCCATACTATCAGACAGAACGGTGGGGAGATGTTGCTGTTCAATTTGCCGAAGTGTTAATGCTTTGTCATATCAGTCAAGGTGGTTTATTTGTCAAGGATCTGACTTTTTCTGTTTGGAAAACGTTTGGCGTCAACGTTCTGGAATTATTTAATGAATCTACATATATCAAATAAAAAAACATAAAAGATTCTGGATTCAACAATTTTTTTTTAGGTGGGGGCGGGTGAAAAATGTCACAACCTGTACAAAAAAGTTTTTAGGCCAATAATAACCTGCCGCTAATATCATTAGCCGTGTTCGGATTTTGAAATAATCCACTGTTTGTGTTCAAGGATTTAAAAAACCGCGCACAGGCTATTTAATCATAAGCAATGGCTTGAAACGACTTCAACCTTTCTTGTGTACTTCGTAGAGCTATTTCAATTTTAAAATATACATTGAAACAAATATTCTTAAGACGCGTGACCTTTTTTCAAAGTAATAAATGTATTGAAAGGCTTAAAATATTGATCTGAAGTTGTTCAAAGCCGGCCTATGAAATCGCAGCCGGAGGCTCAATATTACTTACACTAAAAAAAAGGGTAAAAGAGTTTAAACATTTTTTATGTACTAAGTAAAATTACTTGTAATTTAGAATATATATTATAAAAAATATTCTTAAGATGCGTGACCCTTTTTAAAATTAATTTATGTATTCAAAGGCTTGAAATATTGATTTGAAGTCGTTTAGAGCCGGCCTATGAAATCCCTGCCGGAGGCTCAATGTTACTTACGCTGAAAAATTTTCTTAAAAAAAAAAATCCCCCCACATGAAAAAATCTGGCTAAGAATAATTGTCCTTTTAAATTACTTGTACTAGTCGGAGATGAATGCTCAAAATTGTCACAAAACACGTTAGCAACTACTGAAAAGCAGATGCACTCTATCGTATTAGCGATGATAACATTCGTCAGTGGTTCAAAACTTTTGAGCTTGAGGCCTAACAATACCTAGTGAGCAACGTGAATTATTGGATCGACCATGTCCAATTAAACTTACCTCGTCCAATTACTAAGTTGATACTCACCTTTCCAGACATTGTACTGCTGAGCTGGAAACTGTTTACAAAAAGGATTATGAGACAACTCTCTCGAGGCGCTACAAATGATGACAATAAGATCAAAATGAGGCTTCGACAGACAAATACAGGTCAATCAAAGCATTGATGTTGCATATATCAGATTGGACTCATTGCCACAGTCTCTTATCCATATCTTTATTCACCGAGCAACAGGTGGACAAATTCCTGCAATCTTTATGCAATCAACAATTGCAATATTCACTACAATGCATCTATGTTATAATGAACAAATTTTGGCTCCGATACGTGTTAAATGCATCGAGAAGATAGCGTTTTTTTTTTTCGAAATCAGAAATGCGGCTCTATTATGTTTTTATTATAGAGTTCTTCTTAAACTAATAGAACCCAATTGTTTTCTTTGCACACAACGTTTTTTGAAGATGGCAAAACAAAATTTGCCATATACAGTGGGGAGATCCAAAGATGTCTTGGAGGTGTTTTACATTGCAAAAATTCCTAAAAATATCAGGTATCTCCCGGTTAAACGTTTTACGCGATATGTTAGACTTCTCTATCATAAAATTTAAAAATTGCTAATGTAGAAATCGGGCTTTAAACTTCCTAAGTTTATTTTTTAACGAAAAAAGTTTATTCTAAAATAGATACTCTGTATCGACCGAGAATACTACTTAGCCACTTTTGTGTTTTAAGGTAAAGTTAAATTATAAAAGGACTATAGGGTAGTTTGAGACTGTTTAACTGATTTCTTTATTAATAAATAAAATATACGAGTATTTATATAAAAGACTGTTTGATGTGGTCATATCTCTAGTGCTAACTTGAAGTTATCATTGATTAACCAAAAATGTATACGATTGTTACATAGTCACCAGTTTAGTTTTGTTCTAATAAAGGTTAAGTCTTTTTAACTATCTTTGCTTTAAACTAAATTTTAAGAATTTCTCAGACATACTAAATTAGACTTGTGATATAATATCCTTATAGTTCTTACTATGACATTTATTGTTAAGCTTATATCACAAATGGTATGAGCATGGATAAACCTTTTTTTAGCTCTGATATGGTTATAGCCTTTTTAAGTCACCTGAGAAATTCGAGAGATACAGCAACGAATTAAGAATAAAAATAAGCAATTTGACGAAGTAAAATTATCAAACTACAAAAATAAACTAGTGTCTTAATTATACAATAAATTGGGTTCTTTACATATATATTTAGGGCTGGCTGAATATCAATCATTAGAGTGAAGCCTGTCAAATATACAATAGGCGTATTGTCCATTAAAGATCGAGCATCTCATGGTACCTGCGAGAATCTTGTTTTTGACGAGCAATCATATGATTGGATTGTATTATCTGGAACAAATATATGACTATTGTTTTCTATATATTGATTAGTAGTCAATGCGTAGTAAATAGAGTGTAATAGCATGTATTTAATTAAATAGTAATGCAATAATGATTTATAGAAAGGTTATCAAATAGGAAAGAAAGAATTGTTGATAAAGTTATATCTGTATATAAGCTCGATCACAACCACGCCTCAAGAAAAGAATTATCACTGTAATATTCAGGCATCTCTTCTAAATATCAAATAATATAGATTACCCGAGGACTCTATGGTTTTGTTAAAATAGTTCTTGTAGCCTCTCTATAAATCAGACAACATGTTTTGTGGCTTAAATCCGATCCTATCACAACAGTTGTGACAAACTGCTTCCCAATCTGTGTCAGATAGTTGTTGTGGTAGACTACAAAAACTGTTAGGACAACATATTATGCTGAAATCTCATATGGCATATAAGTCGTATACGTTTAGAAATATCAACCGCTCCAGCCAACTTTCAACGTTTATACATCGACCGTTCAACCCACCGGTCGAAAATAAAAAAACTGACAGGTTAACCGGCCAGTTGACAGTTAAAAAATGACCATACAATGTACCGTGCATCTATTTTAATATTTACAATTTTTTGCTCTGATGTTTTAAAAACTTATCCCCTAATTTTCTATCACGAAGAGATCGTCCTGACAGTATTCCAGCTGCTACTTCTGTTCAACCCACATATTTATATAACACAACCAAAAATAACATTACTACTGATACATCTTCCGTAATTTTAAGCAAACCGGTCAAATCTATCAAAGACAATCCTATACAAGATTAGCCATTACTATATTTTTGAAGCCCCGACCAATGGCCCAAACCACTTCAATCAGAATTAAGTCAAAACCAAGGTGTGGTATATGACAAAATGGTTACATTAGAAAAGTAATGAGATAAAAGAATATCTTTATTGGAGGTAAAGATAGACTAAAAGAACTCTGCTGCGATGAAATAATTGATCATTTTTTCATTGAACAACTTCCCCTGATAGTTGTGTTGAGTCAACCTTTCTGGTTTTGTAATAAATCTATACTAAGTTTCCCGCCTTACATTAAATGAATTCTACTGGTTAGAGTTGATTTCAAGTAACGTCGCTCTGAATCAACCGATTTGGGCCACTCTTATTGTTCTGTTTAAAATACAGAATACCGGTAAGATTTTGTGTAACGGTAGCTTGTTAAAAGATGCATAAGGTTTTCATGTATAATTGGATGTGGTAGAACATGTAGTTATGTCTGATCATTTATCCATTCTGTTGATTATTCATATCTAAGACATGGGTAGATATGTGATCCTAAATAAAGAACTTCTTATCGATGTTTGTATATTTTGTAGCAAACGTAGACTTAATGGGGATAGTTTTGAAGAAAAACGGTATAAAAAAAACAATTGGATCAATTGGAATTCTTGTCAGAATGTTTTGATGTTAAAGTTAACTAAAGATTTAAGAAGAGAAAAAATAAAGAGTGTTTATAATAAATGGAATGGACGAGGCTGAGGATACTACTCTTAACGATATAAGTATGCTATCAATAACAATATCTATATTGGACAATTAGTGCTACGCATAGTCAATAGAGGAATAATAACAATAACATGTCTTACGTTTGGACATTAGTATTACGACACCGTGACACTTTAAATAGTGACTGTCTTTAGCGAATTCCTTTTTTATGCCTGATCATGATTTAGCTATTTTATATTAGTGATGATGAGACATGAATTTATTACATTTCTAATCTATATGTGTGATTTAGCACATTAACAAGTAGCGTCGTTTATTTCGCATCAACCAAGCCAGCAAGTATACAATATGTAGATGAATACAATACTTCTGATGAAAAAATGACAAAGAAATGCCAGGCATAAATTTAAGTCAAGTTAAGTCGGTTTTTTTTTTATTTGGTCACTTTGTCCAAATACTTTTAGTAAAAATATATTTGATAGCATGGATTTTAATTATACTGGATGCTACAGTCACGAGACTTCGAAGTGGTGTTATTAATCATCTGCAATAATTGTGTGGTATCTGGAGTTGCAGAGGGAGAAAACGTTGAGACTTGGATTGGATATGTAACCATTGGGGATGGCGTACTGACAGGTGCAACGACAACTGTTGGTGAATCTGCTTGGTAACAGCAATGCCAAAATATAAGGGTGACGCGCAATAGCGTACGGATATTTTTTAGTGTGACGAACGAGTGAAGGCAGGACAATGATTCAGGCAGGGTGATGCGGCCAATTTCAATCATGATAAAGAAATTAGTATGTATCATTTGCGTCATGTAAAAAATTAAATGAAATCCTACAAAACATTGTGAAATGGTTATGATCCATAAACACTGTAGCAACATTTTCCTTCTTACCATTAACTTGAAAAGTGAGAATGGGGTGGCCACACTTCAGTACGCTGTTGCGTGATAATACGGTGAGCTTTACCGTGTCCATACAAAGGGAATGGTTGGTCGTGCTTTCAGCTCCAAGCTTCACTTCCCCGAAACCAAGGGATTGCCCAAAGGCACGTTGGACTAAGGTAGATACAATGGCGTCTGGACGAATGCCAATGGTTAATGTATCCTTCTTATTCGGCCATCGTAACACGACCTTCTTCGTAGTATCTGCCAAAATGGAAGACAGCAATGGATCATAATACCTGGTTTGTAAGTCTACTTCTCCAAATTGGTTCTTGTCTGCGATGGGGTCAAGCGGTAGTTTCACCAACCTACAATGAAAATAGATGGGGAAGAATATTAATACTTAGACGCACTTTTCTCTACCACACTACAATATTTACAAATCAGCAATGCCTTCGACAACATTAGACTTGAATTGATCCATGCTAGTAGCCAGAGTCAAGAGGCGGAGCGTGGCACTTTTTGGAGACATACCCTCCTCGTCAATAGCGGATACAACATTCACCATTTCCATGAAGTCATCATTGGTAAAATTCGGGGTATTGTGTGGCACTTTGCTCAGTAGCGATTGAGTCTGACACTCTAGCAAATTCTTGAGCACTTGTTCCCCAAAAACAGTCACTTTGCGTTCGCTATGCTGTTCATTCGCCAGGAAGAGTACACCCGACAAGGCTAATATCTCCTGGATGTTCGATTCCAAAGGGACAGGCTTAGGAATCATGTTTGCTTGATGCCGGTATTTTTGGAAAAGAGAAGTAATATCGTTCCCATCAACAATCCAATGCTTCTCTTCGTTGTCACTCCCTTTTCGAATGTTAGCATGCTCTTGATCCAAATCAGTTGTAGTTGTTGCTGCTATAGGTTGTGATGCAGTTGTTTCCTGTGTTGGACGTGGAGTTGGTGATTCTACTGTTGGAGATTGATTCTGAGGCTCCAAAAGGCTCTAGGAATCAGATAATAATATATCATTGATCACTTGGGAGCAGTTGGACGCAGTAGTTTCCAAAGAATGAATTCGCTGGCGTTCCTTCCAAAACACTGTGCAATCAAGCGTGAGACACCAATTTTCAAATTCCTCAAGGAGGCGAGAATGATCTTCTTCGGACATGTTAGTAAGCATTGTCTTATAGCGAGCGTGGCAGCGCCTGCGATCGTAGTGGCCATACTCCAGGGCAAACACCTTTAAAGTAAGATCACTGACGTTCAGAATGCACCATTGTACATCAGCTGCTAACACCCGTGGTCTCTTCTCGCTTGATTTCGGATTGACGGGCGTTTTTCTTTTACGATTCTGTGCCGTATCCGGCTCTGGTGATTGTTCGTCCTTCTTAGCTGTTTTCGTGTTTTTATCACTTTTAGAACGTAACTGTCAGGAACGTGGCTAGGAATATATTATAGCAATAATATCAGAAGATACCTACTAGTTATACGAGACAAAGGAAGAGTGGTTTACAAAGTATTTAATAATAATAATAGATTATACAGGGAAGGGGAAGGATACAAGATAATCGACATGGAACGGGGAAGGCAATGAAAAGGGGGAGTATTTATATCTTTTCAGATAACATGGGTTTGCATTTAAGAATATCTTGGCTTACTTAATTAGTCTTAGTGTTGGTTTCAGCTTACGTGGCCGAAACCCATGAGTCATGATTACTAATTGCTTGGCGTCGGAGATACTTGGAAACGAGTCATGATTACTAATCTCTTGGAAGCGGAGGTTCGTTGCGTGGATAGTCTTGGAAGGTCCTGGAAGGTTCTGGACACTGGCGTTGTTCAATCTCAGCATGAGATTCCAGAACATTCCAATAGTCGGGGATTCGTGGTCAGGGGCAAAGTGCAAAGTACCTGGTTCATGACAGTAACTGACGTTTGCTGGCAGCGGGAGTCTGACTGCGTGTACCTGTCATTTCAATAAATCATTTAAAAGCAACAAATATATAAAGGAAGGCTTAGTTCTTCATTATCAACGAAATGGCACGCCCTTAAATACCCGAATACTTTCACCAAGCTACAAAAACTACAGTAAGAATTTTTAAATTTTTAAATTAAGGAGAAAAAACGCCCGAAATTTTTTGGTTGTGGAGCTGACTGAGAATCGAAAATCCAAAATTTAAGTAAGGAACTGACTGAAAAAAAAGAAGTAATAGCATATGTAAAGTTTTATTGGATATTTAAGTTTAATTAGGGACCAAAGGCTCATCGTAAAGACGTAGAAAAAACATGGCGTTTGATCTAACGCGAGAATAAATGTAGCCATTAGCTTCAAAAACCGGTTCAGAAACTCCATGGTTTCCTTGCCCATCAAAAATCTGTAGCCTAGTCCCGTCTTGTTCTTCTTTTAAGGTTGTTCTCAAGCAAAAAAAAAATTTCTGATCTCATCTGATCTGAAGTGCGAGTTGCCTTCCATGGAATTTTGTGTAATAAAAACTTCAGTAAACTTCAGATGAAAAAAATCTATCTGAAGTCCACCGAAGTTTTTATTGCACAAAACCCTATAGAACATAACTCGGCACTTCAAATCAGATCAGATCAGAATTTTTTTTTGTTTGCTTGAGAACAACCTAAATGTCATATTTTTATGGATACATGAAGAGGTATTCTATATGGATAAAAAAAAAGACCCCGATATTTTAAGCTTAAGTAAATGTGGTGATCTGCTATATTGTTGCTACATTAAATAAATCCATATCTATGACATCAATACATTAAGAATGATTAAGGAATCAATTATCCAATATAGATAGTTAGTACTATCATATCACAAGGTTACAAGAACACAGTGACTAAGGCTTACTAAAAATATGGAAGTACAATGTGTTCAAGATGACAGTAATTCCAAGTGTAACATATTTACAAAATAAGCAGTTAAAGGTAACAGGATACACACTGGGAAAATCATAACAACTTCAAAGATACACTAAAGATAGTGGTGCAGCAGATAGCCTTTTTTATATAAATAATTGTTCATTTTATTTCATAATAAAGACAATCTTATGAACAGTCTCGAATTACTAATATACTGCCTTATAATCTTACTTACCTCAAAACACAACAGTAAATACTCTTGAAATGTAGTAAAGAACTCTGTATGGCATCGATAATTCAACTCGGTACAATGTAAGCCTTTGATGTTATTTACTTTTAAAAGCAACGTTTTGATTAACATAATGGATACTTGAAATTTATATTTTTTATTGCATTGTACATGTTTTAATTCCCAATCGGGCCCAGTAACAGACTTTATAAAATTATCTTTGTCCTGCATGTCTCCTTTTTCAACTTACGTTTCCAATTATTCGAATAAAATATCAATGGACTTACAACCTTATTGTCATATTCGTGTTACTGTAACAGTTCCTATCGAGGCATACAAAACTGTGATTCAAGATCTGTTTCCAAAAACGGTGTAAAATAGAATTTTGACAAACATCAAGATGCCCCTACTGGATACTTAAATGGTGGACAAAAACAGCAAACATATGTCTTCAGAGAATACTATGTATGCCATCTTTCAGGATCTAAAAGAGTACATGCTGGTGTTGTTCGAGGTGGTGCTTCCGGCCATGTACGCGGCTTGCAAAAGAGAAGCAAGAAGAGCAACTGCCCAGCCACTTTAAAGGTCGTCTGTTTGCCAAGTGATCCTTCAATGGTTACAATTACTCATTCTGATAACCAGAACCACGAAATTGGAAGTAGAGAATTGCCATTTTTGCCTGTATTGGTCTCCGTAAGGGCTTTGTTCGAGGAGCGTCTCCGGCAAGGCTACAGTCAAAGAGAAACCAGAGTGAACATTTAAAGAAATTTAATGTCTCACATTAGAAATAATGTTCTTGCTCGTGATAGCACCCACCGTCCTACTTTGATTTATGCTGATGAAATCTACAACATCTACAAAAGAATTCAAGAAGCAAGCTATCAAAGACATCCAAATCATCACCAATCTGTCCGTGCTTGTTTAAGCGAGCTTCAACAAGAGAATTTCGAGACTTTTGAAGGCCGCGATTTTATGGATTCGTTTTTTTTTCGGCTTTATTTACCATTTCCAGAAGAATCTCCTACTCCAAGCTCGTAGTGTATGTCTTGACGCCACACACAGCACTACCAGTTCTTCCAACGGAATTCTTTATACCATTGTAACACACCATCCTTTAATTGGCACTGGTTGTTCTGTTGCTTTCTTTTTCACCATCGATCAATCCATGGGTCCATTGGCGAACTTCTGGAGGTTCCTGAGAAATCAAGCTGGGATTTTGAACATCGCGAAGATCACCATCGATGTTAGTAGTACCGAGTTGGGTGCGATCCAAGCAGTATACGCTTCCGCAAGTGTGGAATGGTGTTGGTTTCTTGTGGCCAGAGCTTGGACAGGAAAAATCCGGCAACTGGTAAATCCTGGTGATACCCACCACAACAACACCGTTCAGAACAATATCACTGCGGATCTGAAGGCAATGATGTCGGAAAATGACAGACCTTTCTTCAAAAGAAAACTTACAACATTCATCACCGATTTATCCGGGTATCGCAATTTTTTGCAGTACTTCAAATCCGTACCTGGAAGACAATGCGTTTATGCGATGGTCCGCCGCATACCAATTGGCATTGTACACTAATATAGAGACGAACAACTATGTGGAGAGTTGGCACAACCAATTGAAGACGACTTATCTTGGCAGAAAAAGAAACAGTAGAGTTGATCGACTGGTGTTTGTTTTGGAGACGAATGTTCTGCCCAAGTATGCTAAAAACATCAGTCGTATCTTTTCGAAAGTTCGATGAATGGGTCCTGAAGAAAGACGACATCGCAAAAGAGAGATGCAGGCAGAGGCCATCAGTGCTGATGCTTTCGAACATATGATCGAAACTGCAACCACTGATTCTGATGGTAGAAGTGTTTATGTTGTTTCTTCTTTCACGACTTCTGGTGTAAGGTATGATGTTGTGGTGGAAGAATTTCAAATGATCACTTGCATTCTGTTACTGGCAAGTTTCAGTAAAAGTAATAGAAGAAAATAAAAATAGAGATTAAGATAAAAGTTCTTAAAAAGTGAGCACCAGACTATATAGTTGTCAACTTAAAAAGATAAAATATATTTGTATAAGAGGGTTATTTATACAACGAAATCAGATAAGAGAGGTATTCGAAGAAGTATAGTTAAATACGTAATGGAATAGCTACAATGCTGATTTTATAGAAGGAAATTACAAGCAATTATAATAAATACAAAATCACAAACACTTAAAGTATTAAGACTTATTCAGATTAAAGTAAAGAACAAAACTAGTTATTTTATTATGAATTTTTGGGAACCTTTTATAGAAAAAGGTTCAAAAAGCAGTTAAAAAAATTGAAAAATCTTAAGTTAAAACGACAAAAAGTACCGTGTAATAATGCAAACACATGTATTTGTTGAAGCTTGATATGTCTATGTTCTCTGTACTTGAAGGTAAACATAAATACTATTGAAATCATTACGGCTTCATGTTTTTACTAACCTTTAATTAAATATTTTCTTTCGACCCCACTTTTTCAACCATTCTCCATCAACCCAAGTAATTCCTCAACAGATTTTGACACTCTGCTTTCTAACATTCATAAACTTAAACGCCAACACTATACTTTGACCGAAACCGAGCTCGAAGAATTAAACAGCTTCAATCACTGGTTTCTCTCTCGTATCGTCTCTACAAACATTCCTCCCAATTCTAATTTTACTACACAAAGATAACAAAAACATTTTTTTTAATAATAAACGCGTGTCCCTTTCCCTCTGCCTAAAAATCAAAAGCAAAGCAGTCCTGTACTTTTAAAAACCGCCCAAAAATTTGGGTATATAAGTGAATCGATTCAAAAGTAACTATAAAAAGTGTGACGTTTCATATTTGAGAGATCATGTACTGAGCGTGTATTTGAAAAATGCGGGGAAATGGAAAAAGATACAAGTTTGGGAAAAAGGTTTTGACATATAAGCAGTATCAACAAGAGTCATTCTTTGATTGTGTGCTCCAGCATTTGCTTAAACAATAACGTTTTGGCATTAAAATAGTTATCTGAATGCTGCAAACAAAGAAAGTGCTTCGGATGGATTAGTTAAAAAGGTACTCAAATTAAATAAATTATGTACAACTTGTAATTGAATTAGGAATAGTTTCGTAATGCAAAGAATTGAAGATAATAAGGTAAAAAAAACATAGTATGTGTGAAGTGATTAAAGCTAAGAAACATTAACTGTTAAAGTAAAGAATCTTTAAAATACGATACGAAATTAAAAAAAATATAAAGAAGACATATAAGTGATACGAATTTTTATTGAGAGTAAATGTTTTTCTTTTGAAGAACTAAGAAAGATTGTTTGAGGAAGCATGTAATAAAGGATTGCAAAATCTTGTTCGCTGCAGATATCAGGGTATGATCGTCTTAAACGATCATGATCCATATCTACAACAGGTTTTCCAAAAATTTTTATACGTCCTGTTGGTGTACAATGGAACTCGACGACGTTTAAATGAGACGACGAGTAAAGGAGCGTAGTTGGTTTATCAACATTTTGAAGCTGCATGTTAATCAAGGGAAAAAAAACTTGTGCCTCACGATTCGCTCTGAATTCTCCAGGTTTTTTCAACGGATATTTGACATACGAAAGAGGATTACCGGACGTTCGAATGTATCGGTTACAACCTGTGAACGGCCGAACATACTAAACCACAATATCTGATCCTCTTGGTTGAGATATGGTGATTTATTAGAGTTGAACCGTTTGACCATCTTAATTCTTTCCAATTCGATTACCTTTTCATCAACTGGCCTATACAATGTATCATGGTATTTGAGGTAGGTTGCAAGCATTTGATGTTTAACCTTTATTCATTTACTTTGGTCGTTAAATAACTCTAATACCACAGCTCTAAAACCACAGTTTTCATCATCCCCGACGTCACGAATTGCAGCAATAACGTTTTTAGGTTGGATATAAATCCAATTAAATGCTGCATTCTTTTGGCATTACGGTAAGAAGTAAATCTAACAACCGTTTACATGTAAGTTTATATATAACGTGTAATATGTGCATTTCTCGTAACGAGCATAATGTGATGTTTCTTTTTTAATTTTCAAATAACTTTTAACATAGTTGGGGTCTAGAGAAACAAAAAGGGTCAACTTTCTTATCTTTTGTTCAAGAGCTACAGTAGTGCTAAAAACTGTCTCACAAAACTTACATCGACGATAAAATCCGCATTAACTACAGTATTCGAAAAATTAAAAATGCTCCTAGAAGAGGGATGTTATTGACACGTTACACAGTAGTTAGACGTTTTTGCCGGTGTTACATGCACTACAAACATAGAAAACGTCTTTTTCACATGAAATTGTTTCTGTTTATGGCGTTTTACGGACACTTTTTTCGGCTTCCAAATAAGGGCTTTGCCCCAAACTTTTTTTTGTTATCCAATTGGGGCTTCGATAGCCATATGCTATAAAAATCCCATCTAAAAAACGTGTTTTTCCCACAACAATGTTTTACTGTTATTTTCGTATTATTTCTACTTGCAATGCCTAAAAAACTTAGCCAAGACACCCGAAACAACGTGAAGTCCCTTATTGCTAGTGGAAAAACAACTAAGCAAATAGTTGAAACAACAGGAGTATCCCGAGCTCAAGTTGTTCGAATGAAAAATGTGAATGATCCTGATCGCGAGCAATGTAATGGTGGCCGACCAAGTCTGATTCCTAAGAGAACAAAACAAGTAGTTAGTTTTAAAGATCGAAGGGGTTATCTAGCTACAGCTAAGGATATTCAGAAGTATTTGCAACAGATTGGTTACATTTACGGCTATTCTTCGACCACTTACTTAATGAGATCTCTTGAACTTAAATCATCATTCAGGAAAAAAAAACCACTCTTTAGCAATGTCAATAGAAAAAAAAGATTTCTTTGGGCTAAAGAACATAAAGACTGGACCGTAGATGACTGGAAAAAAGTTATCTACTCGGACGAGACAAGAGTAAACAGATGGGGATCTGATGGAGCTCAAATTACTTGGAAACATAAAGATGACTCATTGCAGCCTCATAATATTCGAACAAGATTGAAAGGTGCTGGCGGCTCTATAATGGTCTGGGGATGTATGACATCACTTGGAGTAGGCTACGCATGCCGCATAGTGGATTACCCAATGAATTCCGAGCTGTATACTCACATTCTGGGCACAACATGCAAGGACACACTTGATTATTACGGATTAAGCGGTACGGATGTGATTTTCCAACAAGACGGAGATCCGAAGCACACCTCCAAATTTACAAAGCAATGGTTGGAAACAAATAAAATCAATTATATTCGAGACTTGCCACCCAATAGTCCCGACTTGAACCCCATCGAACACCTTTGGCAACACATAAAAGTTAAGTTAGACAGCTATTCGACTAAGCCAAGGAATATAGATGAATTGTGGGACCGCTTCGAAAAGGAATGGAATGGTTTCACTTTGGAGGATATGCAAAGGTATTACGAAAGTATTCCCAAAAGAATCGAGGCAGTTATTAAACCAAAAGGTGGTTATACAAAATATTAAAATAAACATCGTCCCTCTTCTTTTGACCTAAAAGTAACATTTTTGTGATTGTTTACATGTTGCCTTAAATAGCATAGCTCCAATTACCAGAATAAATAATTAACTGTCATTAACAACTACTCTTTAAAATTTGGAATCCGTATCATTGTTTTTCGCCATATGATATTAATTTTAGTTTTTGTGAGACAGTTTTTAGCACTACTGTACCTCTCTTTCTTCGGGAAGCAATTTTTTTCTTTTTCTTTCAAATTCTTCCTCTTCTATTTCTTGTTTCTCCTTTTTTTTTTATCTCCTTCAGCTCGAATTTGTAGAATAGATCGTTCGCAATCTTCAATTTCTCGGCGCTACTTTAATACCACGTTTCGACTTGCCTCTCTTTCCGTTTGTAATTACATATGGGGGTTGCAGCTCGTTTTTTTTTATTACAGGCCCTTTGATATCCAAATCGGCATTTTCGAATACTTTAATAGCATCAGTTACTTCTTGTCGCGTTCCCAAAGAGTTTATTTTCGTAAACATACCTTGCAAAAGCTCCTCAACACGGAGAATCATCGTTTTTCTGTCGTTTTGTGGCGCTCTTCTGTACGTTCTATAACAATAAAATATTGAGCGTTCCTATTTTTTTTTTACTTGTTGAATAATTAAATTTAAAACTACCTTTGGACGACAAAGGTGTATAATTTTTAGCTGGCATACCTTTTAAATCCTCATTGGGACAGTCTTCTACACTTCGTTCATCCTCATCAACTTTTGATTTAAAAAAAGTATGAATTTGCGTTTTCCAGCTTTTTCTTTCTCAAAAAATTACTTTCCTGAACCCGAATAGTGGTATCTACAATTTCGTCGTATATTTTTGTTTTTATTTTGTCTATCTAATTTTAATGCAGCAATACTGTTTCTGTTTAACTTACCTTCATGCCTCGTTTGTACATGTAACTTCGGCCTTGACGTGTTTTTCCATATTCACTTCGTCTATTATTAAATAATTGGGATAATAACTTCATTAGTTATTTTTTTTTAATTACTCACAATATAGTAG